TTCAGTGGCCTGTAACACCAAGTCCACCTTCCACATTTGCTGAAGGTTGTGTTGCAGGCCATCTAGCATGTTTTGGATATCCTGCTTAGAGACTGTGGCAGATTTATCTGTCGCCTGTAGGGCCTCTCGGTCTGGTGTGGGCTGTGTCAGGCTGTGTTGGGCTTCCCCTACAGTCATCACAGTGGGTAAAGCCTCCTGAGAGGCCATTGCCTGGGATGGTATAGGCTGCTGTAGCTTTAGGCTTATGTCTCTTTAAGCTAAGTGGAACCGGCTTTTGCGACCTTCTCCCCATCTCTTCGGCAGTGTAGCTGTCAGTGTGTTGGTTTGGCTTTTCCCTGCGGCACTCCCCACCTTATATCCCCCCTCTGGTTCATGGGACTGCCTGCCCACGCAGTAGGCTTTGGGAACTCGCATGCAGTATTTTGCCATCAGGGTGAGAAAGAAAGGCATCAGCTTGTGCAGCAGGGATTCCTGATACTCACCGATGTTGTCGGTGATGTGTTTATGGAGCCAGTATCATGTGAATTAGATGCCTGTCGCTTGGAGCTCGCCAAGCTCTGCCCCCGGGATTTTCTGTTTTTTACCTGACACTTTTACACATTTTCACAGTTTTGTGTATACACGTGTGACAGTTTATGTATGTATTTTCACTTGTTTTGGGTTTTTAATGGCACTTCATACACTTCCTGTCATACATACATGCTTTTTTCACTACGCATCTTTTCTTATCCTTATTCGTCACTGTCTATTATGATAATTGTTTATTCTTTTTTTTTTTATTTCTTCTTATCTATTTTTTGTTCAATTTCGTAAATTTAGTATTTCTCATTTTATATTTCATATATTTTTTGTATGTTTTTCATTATATTATTGATTATTTTTATAGTTTGAATTTATTTTATTTTTTGTCCATTTCATGTGTGTGGTTTACTTTATTATTCTATTATGTACATATCTACATCTCTTACATCATCCCCATGTTTAGTGTTCCATTCCTCTGCTCTTGTGGTTGTTTTTTTATATGATGTGGTTTCTCCTCCTCCATGTTGGTTTCCTTTTTTTTTTTTTTTTTTTAAGCACTTTATTGATTTTTATATACCTTAATTAAATACAAACATTAGACAAGTAATTGCACTTATAACAAACTTTCCACAATACATAATTACACACCGACAAAGAGGGGTTTGGGGGATCTCCTGCCGCGTGATAGAGAAGCAAAAAGAAAGACAATATGAAACATATATATATATATATATATATGTATATATGTGTATATATATATGTATATATGTGTATATATATGTGTATATATATATATATGTGCATATATACCTTCTTCCCGATTAGCAACTCAGGGTCAGTCTGCTTCCTATATTGACATTATTTTGAGCCAGTATTCGCTAAAATCTTTATGCCTTGGATCCATGTATGTACGTAGTGGGGAATCGCGATGCAGCCTAGAATAAATCTAGCCCCATTAAACCCCCCCCCAATAACGACAAACAACTTAGTATGGATGAACAGGCCACAGCATTTATTATAACATAAATAAATTACTGCATAACACATCCATAACTTTATTAAATCTCTTTCTGTAACGAAATAATCATAAATTAACATATAAACATATTACTCAACACAGTGTTATGCAGTGACCCAACCGTCCTTGCCAATAAACATACAGTGGTTCCTAATCACCACTTCCTCTCACCTCCCCCCTCGTCATAAATCATCTCTTTCCAATGCCCGCCATCAGCCGACCTTATCCACGCTCGATGGGCACGACACCTCAGGCAACCTAATGTTAACCGTTTGAAGCAGGGGAGGTTGAGACCTGCAAACATAATGAACTTACTCCATCCTTAAACATAACCCTTCAAACTTAATTGGCAAGGACATACCCCCGCCTCACTGTGACTAACTAATCCTACAAGGGGTGGGTGGGCGGGAAGCTGTTTGCTGGCCCGAATCCCAAGTGGCACTGAGGTAAGACCTCCCCCACGCTAACTTATATTGAACCTAACCCCTCCCACACACATTACCCAAGTCACTCCCCTGCATCTATCCCCACACTCCTACATGTGCCCTTGTCCGCTTAGCTGCGCTATCTCCCCAGGGTCTTTCCATGTGACTTATAGAGTTGTGCTTCCATCTTTAATTTAAAGTCGACTTGTGTTATCACCGTATCTAAAGAGAAAGGGGTGGAGACTTTCCAGTTTTCTGCTATGATTATTTTGACTGCTATCATGAAGTGAGTAAATATATAGGCTTCTTTGCTTTGTAGTAGTTTAACATTTAAATGTAAAATAGCATTCTCCGCGGCTTTAGCAATAGGTTTGTTTACTACGTTCTCTACTTTATCAAAAACCTTAATCCAAAGCTCCATCACTATATCGCACTCCCACCAAATGTGAAGAAAATAGCCACATCTCTTGTTACATCTCCAGCATATCGGAGCGCATGAGCTGAACAGGCTAGCTAACCTAGATGGTACAAGGTACCATCTGTTTTTTACTTTAAATACGGTTTCAGAGAGATTCAAACAATGAATACATTTACATGCTCTGGGAAGCACCGAACACCACTCTTGCCTCTTAATGTTTATATTTAAAACATTTTCCCATTTTTGACATGCCATTATAACAGTAGGAGCATCTAATTTTAATAATCCTCTAGTAGCTTTTAAAGCTACTTTATGGACCTGTTCATTTTTAAACACTGAACATATCTTAGCACCCTCATGAGGATCACGGATAATATTTTGGTTTATGTAACTTTTTTGCCTTAGATATGTAAATAGTTTGTTATTCGATAAATGGAATTCCTGAATCGGCTCTGGAAAGGGTTTGATTATTTAATTCACCATTAGTTGTTCTACTCAACTGATGCCTTTTTGTATCTACCTGTTTAAGTTCAGATCTTTTACATAGAGTGGAATCCTTGTCATTTTAATATTTATGAGGAATTTATTTTCTATGTCACATTTCTTTCTAAGTGAATCTAAGCATATATTAGATTTTCTGAC